GGGTGATAGGAGTAGGAGTTTCAGGGGTTTGTCACAACTGAAGTGTCAGACACGTGGAGACAGATGCGAGATAGAATCGTGTCACATAGGAAAGATAGATTTGGGGTCAGTGAGATTGAATTCGCCAACAACTCTATTTTATCAGAGTTGAACGAGGGTGTTTCTAGGCGTAAAGAGGATAGGATGTAAGCCATGTCAGATACTGACCCGGTTCTATCGGTGGTACCCACAGATATCAACCAAGACTAGTCCGAAGTAAGCAGTCGAATTCATGTAACAGGCGAGTGGGAGAAACAAGTAGTTTATATACATGAGTGCATATTGTGGAGTGCGGTCGAAACAGTGCCTACGAGTCTATGTGAATGGAATAACAATTGTTTACGAAAGACAGTTCAGCCTAGGTTTTGGAAAGCTGTGTCATCCTTGTGAGAGTAGCATTTCTCAGATGGTCTACTGGTCAACTTAACTGTATCTGATGTGGAGGCGTGCGTAGCGAATATGTGGTCTGCAATAGGGTTAGTAGAGGCTGTTGAAGATCAGTAATTGCAGTCCGTTGATTTTCGTGTTCACACACAGACATATGTGTACATAGATCCATCTCGGATTATGTTCTTTGATCTGACAAAGTCCGATAAGGCTGCCTGACATTCGTTGATATCTGTGGATCAGGCGTATATTTGGCAATACAAACACTTGTAGAATGGATTATTTTGTGACGCAGGTTGCCTGTTTTCTGTTGCGATTCAATGAGGATCTGTCGTCTGACTAGGGAGAGTGCCTTAAATATCTAGTCAATTCCACACATGTACATGAATGAAGGAAGAAAGTTGTGTGAGTAACTTGATATGATTATGAGCAATAGTTTGTGCTCGAAACGTCATCAGTTAATATTACTGTATAACACTGTGTGATTTATCAAAATAAAATCCTATCCATAATGGAGTTATACTCTACCAGAGTGCCCAAGTTTTATGCTTATATCAAGAGTGCCTTAAAGTTCCATGCTGAGAATGATGTCACAGTTGGAGACTTTCTTTACGAGATGATATCCGGGAGATGAAGGAGAAGAACGAACCCAAGTGTGCAGTATTCCTAAGTTATGAATTATTCCCGACTGTTGCTTCGTTATTACTATTCCTTTTGTCTCATGTCTCTGTTTACTGTCTCTATTTTGCATTTCTTTTCACTTTCTTCTCTTGCTTTGTGTGCTACATGGAGTGTGACGACTTGAACTGCTGCACATCGGTGCAAAGTTCTATGTGGAAAGCAGACAGACGTGATATGTGTTGAGTATTGTTGTATGCAGAGACTAATCGGAGAATGTGATTGACCTAATTGATGTCTTGCTTACTGTCATTTAAGTGAACATGTTAGCCACTAAGCGAGTGCTATGCTGTTTCAATCAGGCAGATCAGACAACGATTTGGGTAGGCATCTTACCAACGTTTGCAGCACACAAATAGTGGGACAGGTAGACAAGCACTCTGGAAATGGTGTAAGCTCTCACACTTTTCGATTTTGATTGTGACCGCTGTTTGGACTTGTGGGCTGGTCAGCCGCTGTTTGCCAAGGCCTGCTCCTTCCACTGCTTAAAATTGGCTGATAGGAGTAGGAGTTTCAGGGGTTTGTCACAACTGAAGTGTCAGACACGTGGAGACAGATGCGAGATAGAATCGTGTCACATAGGAAAGATAGATTTGGGGTCAGTGAGATTGAATTCGCCAACAACTCTATTTTATCAGAGTTGAACGAGGGTGTTTCTAGGCGTAAAGAGGATAGGATGTAAGCCATGTCAGATACTGACCCGGTTCTATCGGTGGTACCCACAGATATCAACCAAGACTAGTCCGAAGTAAGCAGTCGAATTCATGTAACAGGCGAGTGGGAGAAACAAGTAGTTTATATACATGAGTGCATATTGTGGAGTGCGGTCGAAACAGTGCCTACGAGTCTATGTGAATGGAATAACAATTGTTTACGAAAGACAGTTCAGCCTAGGTTTTGGAAAGCTGTGTCATCCTTGTGAGAGTAGCATTTCTCAGATGGTCTACTGGTCAACTTAACTGTATCTGATGTGGAGGCGTGCGTAGCGAATATGTGGTCTGCAATAGGGTTAGTAGAGGCTGTTGAAGATCAGTAATTGCAGTCCGTTGATTTTCGTGTTCACACACAGACATATGTGTACATAGATCCATCTCGGATTATGTTCTTTGATCTGACAAAGTCCGATAAGGCTGCCTGACATTCGTTGATATCTGTGGATCAAGCTTTTATTTTGTCAATTTAACCTTTTTTGCCGTGAATCGAGAAGCGATATGAATAATTATTATTATTGCACTTAATAAATATTTTGTTACTCCACTGTATATTCATGTGTGGTAATCGGTTATACAATCAGATGGGTTCAATTGGTTAAATTCCTAGGAATATTTGAAAACGTCTTAATAATTTTTAGTATTATGAGTAACACAACTACACTGTAGATGTTGCTTATTGGCGTAATCAGTCGGATTTTCAGTGGATAGATTCAGTGATTGAAGTGTTCACCCAGCTTACTTCAGACCTCCCACAATTGGTGTAGCTTATTATAGGCTGGAGAATGGAAATTTACTTGTTGACTGGATTCAAGCTAGCGAATTTGCAGTTAGGTAAACCATATTGGATTTTGTAGCAGATCTACTGCTTCCCTGGGAAGCACTGTTGAGCAGTCACAATAATTACAAAACTCAACCAGGATGGGGAGTGAAATCATCAGTAGCACTTATATTGTAGACAAGTTATCTGATGGCTTAAGAGGGTAGATTGTTGTGAAGGAAATAAAAGATAATTCTGTCCTACCCCTCCTCCCTCTTTTCTACTTTGAAAGCGTAAAAATTGATAATGAAAACTTACAGTAGTTTAGTAGTATTTCTTCTCTACTACCACTTAAACATTAAGGTATGTTATTATCATCTATATAATCATTGAAATTTCAGGTAGGGGTGTGCAGCTGATGAAAACTGTGAAAAAGAATGATATCATTTTATACTGCAAACTTCGTCTTCCTTTCTTTATCGAAATTTATCAAGGAAATCAAATGAGCAAAGAAAATTCACTTTATCGATGAAATCATCTTCAGAGGCTGTATAGTCGTATTTATATTTACCAAAAATGTATAGTGGTCCAGTATTGAGCTATAGCGGTAACGCATTTGATATAATTCCTCAGAAGTGGATTCAAAAGTAAAATTAAAAGTTGTAAATTACGTATTACTCAACAACGACACAAAGGAAGAAAGGCTCACCCCTATTAATCAATAATAGACTACCATACATTTTTGACAGATATATAAGTACAACTGTGTAGCCAGCTTCTAAAGATGATTTTGTCGACAAAGAAAATTTTCTTCGCTGAATTGTCATTTACTTTCTCTATGACTCAGAGGGTCGAGTGTACTGCGCGACTCACCTGCCCAAAATTAATTTTCACATGGCTATCAAGAGTAAGAAGGTCGAGAAAGTTTGGGATATTTGGTCATCACTGCTTTCTCACCGTTGTCTGTATTCACCATGTAAGCGACTTAGAAATTTGATGTAGACTCTGGGGTGAAATGAGGTAGACGGAGGAATAATTGGAGATTGAAAATGTTGTTTTCTGTTTGCCAGTCATGTAAGGGATGCAAGCGAGTCTACCTGAGATTGTAGTGTCATCGGAATATGTGATGTGGTCATTTCTTTTAACATCTATTCTCTTATAGTCCTTATTTTTTTATCCCACACATTTCTTAAGTAAGCAAGTAGCTTGTGTGAATGAGCTGAAACATTGGATATAGCTTTCTAAGGGTTTTGTGTATACTATAAGAGGTTTAAATTAGTAATGGACTTTGAGGCAACTCGTGTTCTATGTTTTTATTAGTGTGGCTTTCGGTGGTATTATATCCAGTTTGGTTATGTCTACGGGTTTTTGTGGCTTTTACTGCTCGATTCTCCGAATAAGGACTTATTTTTCTACAAAAGTTTTATATGTTAGATAGGAATACTCTGCACTGACCGATGAGAAGACTCTAGAAGATCTGGATTTCACGTGTGGATGATTTATGTCTAATATCACACAAACTGGAAGACTTACAGGCGAAAACCAATAAACCAACTGAAGAGGCTGGCTGGCAGCGAAGACCAGTGGACTCTAGGTGGACATAGAGAAAGCGGAGACGAAGGTGACGAAGATAAGCAACAATTTGCAACAACAACAACAACAACCAATCACCATCAACGGGAGAGATTTGACAGAGGTTACATCCTTCACTTATCTAGCTAGGACACTAGCACAGGCAGTCGGAACGGATGAAGATGTCAAAGCCAGTTGGAATCGGAATGACAAGGAAGATACGCCTTCATCAACATGAAACCAGTTTCGAAATCTTCCGCACTCAGCATAAGGAACAAGATTCGGATTTTCAACACCAATGTCAAGTCGATCCTTCTATACGGGTCAGAAACTTGTACTTCGTGTAACATAAGGGATTTTCGACAGGTCACTGCAGACTTTCATCAACAGCTGCCACGTTCGCTGGCTCCATACTGAAGATAGAATGGCCAGCCAGCCAGAAAGAATAAGTAACAAGAAACTCTGCTGTGGAACAAACCAACAGGCAAGAGCCGACTGCTCAACAAACATGCAGAAGAAAGTGGACATTGATTGAGCATACGTCAAGGAGGCCGTCGAATGCCATCGCGCGCAATGGAGGTCATTCGTCATTCGAGTAGAATCCAAATGGGAAGCGACGGACGAGTGGGTCGTCGGTGTGAGGGTGACATGGAGGAGATCCTGTAGAGGAGTTTGAGGAGGAGATGAGAGATTATGGGTTATCGTGGAGCTAGCCAGCTGAAGAGGCTAGCAGAAAATAGAAGAAAGTGGAGATGTATTGTTGAAGTCAGCCCGATGTTCCACTCGGAACCAAAGGGAATAATAATGCTACTACTACTAATAGTAATACATTTTTACCCGTTCCCGTTGTTGTTGTTGGTATTGCTTTTATTCTGACGACTAGCGGCTTCTGTATTTATTTTTTTACACATAAAAGTTATTTATTTTGAAAATATCACGTAAGTAGTATGATGCGTGTTTTTCTGTCATTTCGTTGGCGTCAACTGAGTCTCTCAATGTGATAAATATAATGATATCGTTGCTAAGCAAATTGTAAAATGTTGGAATGAACACCATCTAGTTGAAGTCTAACCCAAGTAGTTTTCATTTGCTGTACAGTTATTTAAAAAAAATTTACAGTAGGATTGTTTTCGACGTGTTGCTGTTTTTGCGTAAATGTTCTGCTGCTCTTTCGATTGAATTCTCGGTGAATTCATTCAATAATGATGAGTAAGAATTTCTAAAAATTAGAGGTAAAAACAACACAGGTTTAATTGTCAATTAAATATAATAAATAGTTTTTACGAGTTGATCACGGATTGATATCAGTTAAAGAAGCATTGAAAACCAGCCACAGGGAGTACTGGACAGCCAGCTGTTTCATCTGCCTGGTTTGGGAATCACCCACCACAGTGGGGTTCGAACCCAGGACCTTCCGGTCACAAGGCAAGTTAGGTTGTATACCATTCAGCCACTCACTGGGACCCGATTCAATGGTCAGTAAATGAATTCTAACTTCTACCAATTCGTGATGCATTTAGCCCAGCTAGCAACAACGAATGTCATCAGTGGGAACTACATCCTCACACTTGACTGGATGGACCTCACTCCGGTCACACGACTTCTCACTAGAACTCCCGGAAGCTCTGTCCTGGTATTCAATGCTTCCCTAACTGATATTAATCAATCCGTGGTCAAACTCGTATAAACACATTTAATCCTTACAAACCAAACTCTTGAAAGATTTCTCATCTGTTTAGGTAATATTTTTTAGTTTTGCGGTAATATATTGTCATGGTTCACGTAATATTATTCGGCCTAGCGGTATTTTTTGTTCTTGGAGTATTAAATAGACGGTTACAGCGAAGAAAATTTTCTTTCCGACGAAGTTACTGTCAACTAGGCTGTACATTCGTGTATTTATATATTAAATGGGTGGGAAAGTTCCAGAAGAATTTCCGGTCAAAGGTCAAATCAATAAAATTACAATTAGAAATTAAAATGCCATAATAAACAGAGGGTGGGGACGGATAAAACTCAAACAAAGTAGCATCATAATTACTGAGAAGATTGACATATTGTGCAATTAAGGGGTTGGAAATGTAGAAATAACAAAATAGACATGATGTTTGGATAAAAAATCTAGTGGGATCAAAACTAATGTGACGAATAATTGTTTATGCAGTTAGGGATTAAATATGCAGAAATAATAAAATGACAAAATAGGCAGGAAGTTCGGATATGAATGTATGGTAGTGTAAATAGGAGGCATTAAGGAAAACTTAAAAATAACATGAATAAACAGGAAGTTTGGATAAGAGAGGTAATGAGATAGTCACTATTAAAAGAAAAAAAAGAATTTGTTGACCCTAACCAGAAATTATTCTGGAACTTTCCCATCCATTTGATATAAATACACGAATGTACAGCCTAGATGCTGACTTTGTCGAAAACAAAATTTTCTTCACTGCAACTGTCTTTTTATTCCCTATGATCGAAAAGAATTATCTGTTAATGATGACCATGGTAGGGACAAGGGTTGAACGTATTTCTTTTGGATACGAGGAGTGGGTCTGAGCTTTTGGATGGCTAGTGCCTCGGCTATGCCCAGATGTCTTAATTTTACTCCCTTCGATAGGTTTGATCGAACCTTGTATATGATTTTGAAGGATTTTTCGAATGGCGCTGAATGTCCGGAATTGGTCAGATGTTCTGTCACTGAACTATATACACGTTTTCGTTCTCCTTTTACTAGCCAGGCTGGACAGTGTTCACGAGCGCATTTTCAAGTTGGAGCATGGTACGGCCGATGTACTCAGCTCTACACGAGCAAGTAAACTGGTATATGCACTTTGAAGTGGCCCAATGCGACAGTTTGTCTTTTGCGTTCTGGCTGAATAGTTTCTTGCAGAAAAACGTCAGTCGTAGGTTTGCGGCGAAGTATGTTTTCCTAAGAGATTTGCAGAGGTATTTACGAAAGATTTCTGCTTCAGTGTCACCTTTGAATTCTAGAATAAGCAGAAGTATCTTCTTTGGGACGGAATGAACTCGTTCGGAAGTCTTCTTTGATTTGAGATTCTTGTCTATGAACCTGGGCAGAAAACCATTTTCCATCAGGGTTCTTGGAGTAAGAATTAAGTTTCCTTCTATGTTTTATGTCAGGCGTGTTATGCAGTTGTATTACAGTAAATGACACTCCTGAAATAAATATTCTCTCTCCCTCTATAATTCATATATATATGTCACCGAAAACACCTACTGAGCCATGAAGAAAAATAAAAGACAATTCAGCGAAGAAAATTTCCCTTATCGATTAAATCATCTTCAGAGGCTGGCTGTACATTCGTATTTAAGAAGGATATGGTGCCTGCCAGTGATACAATCAATGGTGAACTGGAGAGATTCATATAAGTCCTTATGGAAAATGGATATGCTTCAAAATTCATCTAGAAAAACATGAAAGAGTAAAGCAGAAAGCCGAAGGAACTGCCATTCATGAACGTTGAATTTAAAGGTAATAGAGTGATTGAGATTCTGAAGAACCGCTTGTTATCTAGATAATCACTGAGAAAAGCCTTCTTTTCGGCTGAATGAGCTACGGATCAGTGAAGGATAAACTGCCACTTTGGACGGGTCACTTCAATGTGTGTTTATAAATTCACCTGCTCCTGCGGAGCTAGTTACGTTGGCTCCCCAAACAAAGCGGCCGCACACTTTCCAAACACATCTCTGAACATCATCTGGTATGGTTAGCAAAATGACAATGCAAGACAGTTATTAGATCAATTCTCGAGCATTTGGTGAACTCAAGCCATATAGATCCAGCAGAGTTGTCTTTCAAGATTATCTACAAGGTGAGAGCAAATGGTACAAAGGGCATTAGGTTTCGGCATCGGTGTATGGCGAAGGCGTCGCCAATTCGTCAATACAACCCCGAATTCTGTATACGGAGGAGGTTTGTCTATTCTTTTATTCTACCATGGTCTTAACCTCTTCATTGGTCATTCCTTGTGAACAATTTTATTTTTTAATTTTAGTTTGCTTTTACTTTAATAATTAATTCACTATTATCACTCCCACATGTTCCTTTTGTACATTTACTCCCCCACTTGACACTTGTTAAATGGACACTCAACTACCACTCTTCTTCTTATTATTACTCAATAACAATTCTGACCTTATCACATTTAGAACCTTTTGTACAATTGTAATGTTGAGTACTACGTAATTTATAACTTTTATTTTTACTTCTAAAGGCATTTCGAAGTAATTATATCAATTGTGTTCCCCCTATTACTCAATACTGGACCACTATACATTTTTGTTAAATATAAATACGACTGTACAGCCAACTTCTGAAGATGATTTCGTCAATAAGGGAAATCTTCTTCGCTGAATTTGTCTTTTATTTTCTTCATAACTCAATCAATGAGTATTTTCGGTGATATGAACACTACTTTATTTTGTAGTTGCTTCTGGCAATGACTATCAATGAAATCCAAGTCGTATTTCTGCTAGTCATGGGATCATCAACTGAATGAAACCGACCCTCGGGGTATTTGTGTTCCCACTCTGACACAAACTAAATCCTATCTATTGGCTTAGTCCACAACGATAAGGCCTGATTATTCAAAAAAAGTATCAGTCTATCTTTAGGAGTTTGATCCCAATTCTTCTTTGATTCACAGGAGTCAGTTGACCAATATTCGACAGTATAAGACATGATTGCATAAACCTCCCCTACCCCCGCACTGGTTCTAATGAGATGGTATTGAAGAATAAAACTTGTGCACTGTGGTAGAGTGTAATTCCATTATGGGTAAATTTTGTTTTGTTAAAGTCTCACAGTGTTATACAGTAATGTTTACTGATGACGTTTCGAGCACAATTTATTGCTCATAATCATACCAGATGGCTGGCCAGAAAACATCAGCAACAGGCAGGGAACCCTGACAATGAACCAACGAACCAACACAAACCAGCAGGAACCAAGTGTGCAACAAATATGCAGTAAGAAATGGAGTTGAACTGGATTGTTGCCATACTCTGAGAAAACAAACAATCAAGTGAATAGTGACATCACACACCAGGCTCTCTTTCTCCCTCTGTCGAGTGGGAAGCGGCGAGTTAGTTGGTGGTCAGGAGGAGGAGGAGGTGATGCGAAGAGGAGACGAAAGCATGTGGGCAGACGTGGAGCCAAGTGAGAAAACGTTGGTGGAGAACTCCGAACGCAATGGAGAGGTGCGTCTGAAGCCCTATGTTCCTCAAGGAACTGAAGGAAGCAATAATAATAATTTTCGAAATGTGACGAAGTAGTTTTTTAAAACTAAGAATATTCTTACCGTTCAGTCGCTTGTTAAGACGTTCAAGTGATTTTACCAAATTTTCTTCTTCCACTGACAAGGCTGATGGCACTTTCGTTCGTTCTTGGGAATGTATGTAAAAAGGTGCAGAAAGCAAATCAATAAAATTAATAATGACTATATTTCACGAAAAAGTGTGATGATAATGTCTACAGTAAACATATTAAATGTGTGGACTGGTGTTTTTATCGAGATACCTGTTATGACCGGAATTATATGACCTAGTAGACTTTGAGCGAATACTAACTTAATACGCTGGCTAATCTGTCCTAATCACACGACAACAACAACAATAATGACACCTTTTCAATAATTTAATAATTCCCATTTTAGCATTAAGAACACAATATTCAGCGAAGAGACTCTTTTCAACGAATTTATTATCAAGCTGTACAATCGTATATATATTGTTTTTTTTTAAGAAATTATATCCGGTGAGGGAATTAGGTCAAAGGTGTGAATACATGAAATAATAATAGTATGAAATGCAATTAAAATATTTGTGATTATAATCATAGTTTAATGTCAAGTGGCACAATAATTAATGTCGTATATAGAATAATACATAAGGTGTATAGATTTTGGAAAATAATTATAAGATTAGTAGACGAATATAAAATGTTGCATAACATGGTATGAAATTTGATAAGACAGAATTCAACATTGTAAGAAATATAAAAATATAAAAATTAATAATTTTAGGTTTAAAATGTCAGGTGGGTCAAGTGAAAAAGATTCAGAGTGAGAATAGTAATAATAATAATGATAATAATAATAATAGTAATAAGGGAAGGGTACATAGAATACATAGAAACCTAATTCCCTCACCGGATATAATGTCTTATAAAAAAAACCATATATATACGATTGTACAGCTTGATAATAAATTCGTTGAAAAGAGTCTCTTCGCTGAATATTGTGTTCTTAATCATGACACCGCCAAGCCGCGAAAAGACAAAAGAAAAGACTGGACGTTGATTGGTCAGAGAACTTTTGCTGCCTCAAAACAACAGTCCCCAAAAGACGCTGACTGCACCTGAGTATATAGTTGAGTTTAGAATGAACTTGAGAAGGACTGATATCATTGAGCAATGAAGACAGTGAACGACCAATAGGATTTCAAGAGTCATAAGTAGTAGGATGAGAGGAAATCAGGTCTATAGATCAATAAGTGTGGGCAGGGTGAGAGAAGTACAAACAGACATGTAAGACGGACATGTGTATATATATATATACGAATGGTCTGATAGTGTTCTCGTGATGTTTTGTAGCCAAACGTGGGATAGTAGGTGACTTAGTAGTGGTTGTGTGCAGGGTTTGGAGGTTTTATGATAATGTCTAAAATCCATAAACGACTTGATAAGGCCAAGGATGGGTAGACGATTGTTTTCTTCATGAAGTACTCTCTCATGCAACCAGGTATGCATAGCTTCTACCAGGTAACTTCTATTAACTACCTTTCACAAAGGCGGAGTACGAAAGTCAAGTGCTTGTAACCGGACAGAAGGAAATGGATGTTCGCCTAAAGGTATTATGAAAATCTGGACTCTTTATTTATGGATTCAGGAAAGGTAACTCATTGCTGATCAAACTGCAACTATAGGCATCGTCGTCGTCATCATCACAGAACAGAACATAGAATGGCGGTCAAACCTCTCTCTACCTCAACAAATTCATCGACTTCGAAAAGGCCCTCAACAGACAGCGTTGACTGAGAAGTAATTTGGAAACTGCTTCAACACTACGGCGTGAAGTGCCCAACTCTTTATCAACCTCATTCAACCAGAGCTATATGGCGGTGACACGTGTCAGATGATTCACAACGGGAAACTCAACGGGGCGCTCAAAGTGGAGACAGGAGTAAGACAAAGCTGGCTCTTTATTATCACTGGTGATATTTCTAATTATGGTGGACTGAATCATTTGTCAGACTGTGCGTTGGGAGTGAGTAAGTCAGTGAGACAATAGAAGATGTGGATTTCACGCGTGGATGATTTATGTCGTTGAATATCACACAAACTCGAAAACTTCCAGGCAGGCGAAAACTGGCTGAAGAGGCTGGCTGACTGACAGAGAAGACGACTCCATGTAGGTGAATATTGAGAAGGTGGAGACGGAGGTGATGAAGATAACCAGTTAGCCAACCATCACCACCAGCAACAACAATAACAACCAGCACAAATCACCATCAATAGGAGAAAGAACTTGTGACAGAGGTTACTTCCTGCCTTCACTTATCTGACTAGGAAGCATAGTTTCAACCACAGGCGGTCGGAACGGATGAAATGTCAACATCAGTCAGCCAGCCAACCGGAATCGGAAAGACAAGCAAGATAATCCTTTATCAACCTGAAATCAGTTTGGAAATCTTTTGCTTCACTCCGCCTCAGCCAACAAAAACAACAAGATTCGGATTCAATTCAACACCAGTGTGAAGTCAGTTCTTCTATGAGGGTCATAAAATTGGCCAGTGGGTCACGAAAAATATTTGCAAAAGGTTACTACCACCTTCGATAGCTGGCTGATTCCATATTGAAGACTAAATGGCCAGCTGGCGAGAAAGAATTACCAATGGGGAACTCTGGCTGGGAACGAACCAACCAAGAGCCGATTGTTCAACAAATATGTAGGAGAAAATGGAGACCGATTGAACGGGGATACGTTGGGGAGGGAGGACTTCGAATGACATCGCGCTCAATGCAGGCCACCGCTCGAGTGGAAGGTGAATGGGAGGTGACGGACGAGTGGGTAATCAGTGTGAGGGTGACATGGAGGAGATCATGCGAGTTGGATGCGGTGAGAAGATGACAGACTATAAAAATCGTGGAGCCAGCCAGCTGAGTAGGACAGGAGAAAATAGAATAAAGTGGAGATATGTTGTTAGAGCCGTATATGTTCCTTTCAGAACTCAAGGGAATAATAATAATAAACCTATGGTGTAAATAAGTCACAGAATCTCAAACACTCGAAAGGAATATAAGCCCGATTTGGTTATCGGAAACCACAGGGGCAAACGTCTGCACCAAATAAAGGACTAGACACATCACACTAGTTACTAGCGTGCAATGAAGTGAAGGGATTAAAATGAACATTTAGAAGTTACAACCCCTGTTTTCGAATATTTTTACTATTATGGTCGTTATTCCTTTGGATTGCTAATGGAGAATGAGGCTTCAGTCGAGAATCTCCATTTCGATGTTTTCTGTGTGGTTCCCGTCAGTAGGGCCCTATGATTCCTCGTAAACCTTGAGCACCTTCCAACGCTTAACTCGTCGTTTCCTACTCGGGTTACATTTTAGAAGGATAGGAACAGATGTGCCGAGTAGAAAGTTTTCTTTACCGACCTGATTAAACGTTGAAATTGAATCTCCACAGGAGTATCTCCCTTGAACTGTAGACGGCAAAAACAGAGACTTTTTCTCCACCGTCGCGATTTCATGTGTACGACTATTGTAACCTATGTTGGCCCAAATGATCTCTCCGGATATCCGTTCTTGCTTAGAATATCCCGGATGACCTGGAGTTATTTCTCTACAAAATATTCAGTGCAAATCAACTTCACTCTAAATGCTAAGCACCTAATTGATCAGATTACGTTTGTATTTCATCGATACGAAGCTAAGGAAGTGTGTGTATACTGAGTTTTGACATAACTGTTCTCTCTCCTCGTTAGTAGGACGTCGAAGAAGTGTAGAGAGTCGTTATATTTTCCTTCTTAGGTGAATAGGTTTACTAGGTGAGCTTTATTGAAGTTGCTTAAAATCAAATCACTACGTAACCCTTGATCGTGCACTACAAAAGTGTCATCCATGTAACGACAACACATATCCGATATGTCAGGTTCCCGTACCATTCAATAGCGAAACGGCTAGCTGGAATCTTAGAACCTGTACGAAAACGAATGTGCCACTATTCGCTTCGTGACACTTTCCGACTCGGCGATCACATCAAGGGTATCAATGTGAAGAACAAAAATATGCTCTCCCTCGACATTGAATCACTATTTACCAACGTTCCACTCACAGAAACTGTCTCTTATATTTGTCACTATATCGACGAAAATCAGCTGAACATCGGATTACCGACGACCTGTTTAAAAGAACTACTACTGAGATGTACACTCAATGTGCAATTCACATTCAACGACATTATTTACAGACAACAAGATGGGATCGCAATGGGATCTCCACTGGGCCCATTTCTAGCAGACTGCTTCATGGCAAGCCTCGAGAACGGCCCACTCAAATCAACCATCGACAATTTCCAGTTGTACGTTAGATATGTTGACGACATCTTTATCATCTGTGATGACGGTCACGATCTCAATCAACTACTGCAAATATTCAACAAATGCCATCCAGCCACAAAGTTCACTTTGGAAACTGAAAATGAATCTAAAATCCCTTTTCTTGACGTTGAGCTTACAAGGAGAGATGACGGAACTTTAAGAAGGTCAATCCATAGGAAACCGACTTGGAACGGACAATTAACAAGTTTCTACAGCTGGGTACCAATCAGTCGGAAAAGAAACCTAATTAAATCCCCTGCCACTCGCGTCAGACGCATCTGCAGCTCCGACACCATGGAAGAAGAACTAAACTTCCTGAGGGAAATCTCCATACAAAATGGCTACCCACCGAGATTTGTAGACAAAAACATCAAACAGAAAACCAAAAGCAAGAGACACCATCCGTGCCAAAAAAAAATACTTTATATGAACCTCGACTTCAAGGGAGACCTACTCATTGACGTCCTCAGAAGGAGAATCTCCACCTCTTTAGGAAGAACTTTCCCTGCGGCAACACTAAGAATAGTTTTCTCCAGTCGCCCACTGATCTGCAGAAACCCAAAGGACAAGATTCCGCACATGACCACTTCTATGTGTATATATTAGTTCACCTGTTGCTGTGGAGCCAGGTACATCGGTGGTTCAACGCGTATCCTGTCAAAAAGGGTCAAAGAACACTACCCAGCGTGGCTACAGAAAGGAAATAATGGCCATATAAGGAGTGCAATAATCGAACATCTCGTCAACACTGGTCATTCCATCTCAGCGAACGCCT